AAGTCGTCAACAAAACCTTTAATATCTCCAAAAGCTACCATGAAGTCTGGACCCGACCAGATATTAGTATAAATTTCAAGTTACTATGAAGCCTGGACCCAACCAGATAATAGTCAACTTCTCAAGTCACTTTAGAGCCTGGACCCGACCAGATAATAGTTTGACCTCATCAATTGCTGAAACCTGGACCCGACTAGATAACAGTTTGAGTTTCTGAAACCTGGACCCGACCAGATAACAGTTAATCTCAATTTTAAGTTACTAAAGCCTGGACCCGACCAGATATTAGTTTAACTCTTCAAAATATAGAAGAACCTGGACTCAACTAGACCAAGGTTTGAGTTCTTTTCCCCAGTAGAGTTTGCCTCTACCCAAACAAGTTATTGTGAAGCCTGGATTCGACCAGATAGCAATTACCCTCATAAATTCGTTGTGAAACCTAGAACCCGACCAGATAACAACTAAATCCCCAAATAGTTTATTATGAAACCTGGACCCGACCAGATAACAATTAACCTCAACAACCTCAGAAATCTGCAAAGCCTGGACCCGACCAGATGTCAATTTTCAAACAAGTTGTTGTGAAGTCTGGACCCGACCAGATGTCAGTTTTCAAGAAAGTTATTGTGAAACCTGGAGCCCAACCAGATAACAATTAACTATGATCCCCAGAGAGGCACTGTGAAGCCTGGACCCGACCAGATAATAGTGCAACTTTCCAAAAAAACATGAAAACCTGGACCCGACCAGATAGTAGTTACCACTTCAAAAGTTACTGCAAAGCCTGGATCCGACCAGATAACAGTTAACTTCCTTATCCCCAGCAAGTTGTTATGAAGCCTGTATCTGACCAGATAACAATTCAATTTCAAGAAATTTTCTGCAAAGCCTGGAATCCGACCAGATAACAGTTAATTTATCTCTTACCCTAGCAAGTTATCATGAAGCCTAGGTTCGACAAGATAGAATTTGACTTCCTCATCCTCAGCAAGTTGTGAAGCCTAGATCTGACCAGATAACAGCTAACATTCAAGAGATATTCCCCAGCAGAAGCATCCTTTCAACGAAGTTTGAAGATGTATATATTCTTTATCCCCAACAGAAATCCGGGAGTCAACTTCCCAAAACTCCTCAGTAACAGTTATGGATTTATTTTCCCGGACAAAGACATACATCTCACATTCATACATCATAACATGCACGTACAAGATGCATTTAGCATAATACCACCTCTAGTGAATATCCTGCATACATCTGTACTTTACTAATTCTTTTTCTCACAGGTAAAACATCAAGTTTTAGTATGAATCAACCAAAGATTTATGTTGATACCTCCTCCAGTGTTTACCAATATTCCTCTAAGTGGCATCTATAAGCCCATTCACAATCCATCTTCGAGTGCAAATTTCGGGGCACTCTAGTGTTCAATCATCTTTCACCTTAAAGTCATGAATGGCAGATTCGCCAATCTAACTCTTCAGGTTTAAGAAGATTGAATAGGGGAAGCTGTTGTACCCTGAAATTTTCCCTCTCATTTATCAAGTATTTTCTCACAAGATCTCCTTTGGTTCAAGACTGCACTAGGGTTGATCAGCTCAAGACACCTCCACAAGCACTGATGACTGAAAATTAGGGTTTGAGATTTCACAAGGATAAATGGACTTTTAATACCCCATATGACCTTCATGGATCATTTTGGACTCTCAAGTTTTCACATGTCAATTTTCTAGTCTTGGATCACATTTTTGCTCAGTCAATTGATCAGTTGACCTAAAAATCAGCTGTATTGGGGAAAAAGTCAATTATGGACAATTTACAGTCAAACTTCATAATTTTTTATCCATATCAACATTATGAACTCATATATGTCATTTGATCAAGTTTGGACCATAATTCCTCAAAAAAATTGATCAGATCATCAAAAGGACAAAATGGTCAAAATTAAGGTTTTGATTGAGAAAGGGCAATTTATGATTTTTAACCTAGCAAATGATTGATTGGTTGGAGACATGATCTCAAGGATCCAATTTCATCATTTTTACCTAATGGTATGACTTAAGGAGACATGATTTTAGGGGTGCTTTGCAGGTTGTAGATTGTTGCTTCTTGCTTTGACATTATGCGTGTGCAGAAGAAACAATTGAGAGGCTCAAAGAGAGTGGACTTTGCATAAAGCATGATTTTCTAAAATGGAAGTGTTGGCTTTCTTCCCTTAATGGCAAAATGGATTATATAATGTTTGAATCAAATGGACCATAACTCAAAAGCTTGTGTAATCTTCTGATTAGAGATGTATTTACAAGTTTAGAGGCCTACAAAGAGAGATTACAAGGCATGGCATGAAAATTTGATCATAAGATTTTTAAAAGAATGGCCTATAATTCAAGTTTGACATGCCATCTTCATCTCTTCGAAACTTCTAGCTCAAGCATGATAAATTTGTGTTTTTGGACATTTTGGAAAGCTTGAAACATTGTCTACAACTTTCATGTTGACCACTTCGGCTAAATCAAATGGAAAATTGGTTAAAATTGGCCAAGAAGTTGAGATGAAAAACTGACCAAAACTTGTTGAAAATATTTTCTAAGTGTTAGATAAAAATATCACAACTCCATGGGCTCATATTTCTTAATCCAAGCACTTTTTTAGGATCATCCCACATTAACAAAGTTGTAGAATTCATCAATTCCTATAACTTTCATGTTGAAAGATTTCTTTGAATCAACATGGATCTTAGTGAAAAATGACCATGAAGTCGTGATTTTGTTAAGAACAAAACACTTAAAATTATTCTAAATGTTGGAAAAATTTCCAACTTTTGACTTTTGTTGACTTTTATTTATTCTTGATGATCAAGTTTGATAGTTTTGAATGTTTTGATGATTTTTGATTTTTGAATTTCAATATTGACCAAAAAGTCAAAGTTTGACTTTTGTGTGTCTGTTGACTTTTCATCAATTGATTCAATTTTCAACTGTCAATTACTTGTATCTTTGAAAATATCTTGAGCCATGTAATTAGGTCAAGATGTTTTATTTGAACCCTTGAGATCATGCTTTAAGCCATTAGATCATGCACTAGGTCAAAAGTCAATGATCAATCATCTTCAATTAAAACTCTAATTTGGCAATTTTTTGACCTTTGATGATTAGAGGGCTTTCCTTGAGGAATCATGATCAACCCTTGATCAAATGATGAATATCACCTCAAAATGTTGATGTTGACAAAAAATCTTGAAGTTTGACTGTATGTTTGACCATAGTTGACTTTTTACCCAATAGATTTTCAAACATCTGAGCCATTGACTGAGCAAACATGTGACGCATGACTTGAAACTTGACATAAGCATTAATGAGGACCTATGATGAACTATGAAATTCATTTGAGACCCTTGCAATTCAATCTTCTTTGAAAAGCACCAAACCCTAATTGAAGACCCTTGCTTAGGAGGAGGTTTGACCAGTCAACTCTTGAGTAGTGAGTATTTGAGATCACATGAGAATGTCTTAAAGAAAATGGGAGAACAAATTATCTACTAACTTGAATATCATCTTTGTTTTTTCTCCTCCACATTTCTAATTATTTCAACTAATGAGAGTGATATGATGATGCTTATCGCTCTTAAATCTACCGGTAATTTCTCAATATTCAGAATTTCAATTGTAACTGATAATATAACTTCATCTAAATCATTCTCATTAATGTGCACTATAATTGCTTCAATATTAATGATCTTCTTCTTGGTATATCTTTGCTCATGAGTGAAAAAAAATAAGGAAATCTATTTATTTTTTAAGTCCATTCTTCATCAAATTCTCATTTTTGTTCTTCTATATCAACTTCAATTATCTTATTGAAGAAAAGAAATAAAATTCTAAACAAAATAAATTTAAATGAAGAACATTTAGGGTGATTTTTTTCTTCTTGGTATATCTTTGCTCATGAGTTAAAAAAATAAGGAAATCTATATTTTTTTTAAGTCCATTCTTCATCAAATTCTCAAATTCTCATTTTTGTTCTTCTATATCAACTTCAATTATCTTATTGAAGAAAAGAAATAAAATTCTAAACAAAATAAATTTAAATGAAGAACATTTAGGGTGGTTTTTTTTTTCTTTCTTACATTAGAGTTGAATTAAACTTATTTTTGATTTGTTAAGATTGGTAATATCTAAATTAATCAGAAAACAGAGAAAGTTATGTAGATGAGCTCTTTCTAAGCAAGTACAATGAATACTTTTTCTATAAACAAACAAACGAGTAGCTAAATTAAAGTAGCATTCATTATTTATCATCTAAATCTAAAAAATAGTGGTGGGGTATGTGGGGAGAGACGAGGAGCATAGTAATCGCGAGACATCATCTCCAAAGTGAGTGATGTAAGCAAACACTTCCCTACAAATCTCTCCCATAGGTTCATCATGCTTTCAGCACGTGAGGGCGCGTCAGTGTTTCATTTTTAATTCTGACGACAAGACAAAGGGGGAAACACCGGCTAAACACCCCAATTGAATAGTTAATCCTCTGCATAGAGAGGGCTGGGTTTAGGGTTTAATAAATCACATGCTTCACCGAACCACATACCCCAAGTTGCAACATAGTCTTATCAAATATGTATATAAATAGCAAAAGTAGTAAATAATGTTTCAATGTGGGGCTCGTAATATGTCATCTAGTTGGTTCATGTTCTTAATCTGTAAGTTAAAACCTATTTCCTCTGGCCTAGCTGGTAAGAAGAATATCAAATTCAAAAACAATGCATGAGCTACGAATCTTATGCTATTCGTACATGAAACAATTTATTTTCAAGTCTGGAATAATAGAAAACAACACACAGGAGAAAATTTTATTACTAGGCTTTTCTCAACTGTCTTAGTTTTTGCCATTGCCTTTACACATGATATATCCAAAATAGGATACCTAAGATTCTATAAGATTGTTCTGTTACAAGTACAAAGGAAGAGAGAATAAGCCCTTGGGTGGTCAAAGCAAGAGCTTCATCATGGGCTGATTTTAAGATATGGATGCTTAAGAGCTTCATCAGCTGAAATCCTGCCATTTGGGCACAGGCAAAGCATTTTCTGTCCAACACAACACCAGGCATAAATAAACTTTCAGTAGATCAATAAAAGAGTTAAGTAATTTAGGCGAAAAAACATAAACAGTAATGTGTACGAGGCAGTTAACTTACCGAAAGAAGATCAACACCAACAGGATCGAACTTTGGGAACACTTGAGCAAGGTCCTACAAAATCCAATAGTTTCCAAACATTGGTTATTTGCTGGCCAAAATTTTTACAAGGAGATCAAAAGCAGAACATGAATACCTTTGGCAACATTGAAGGATCATGTTGTTCAACAAAGGTGCTTATAGAAGTCACGCCAGGCCAGGATTCTTCTGTTGGCGTGCCAAGCAAACTTGATATATAAAATGTCCAATTCATTATTTCAATTTGTTTCATATTAAGTGCAGAGAAATTAGATATATAATGATTGTGTTTTGGTGAAATTACCAAAATATCTGAGTCAAGATCTCAGTTTCGTCTCTACCAACGAACAGAGGTTTGAGCTTAATCATCTCAGCAAATATGCAGCCCATGGACCAGATATCAACTGCAGTTGAGTAACGGGTAGAACCCATCAAAAGTTCAGGTGCTTTATAACAAGGATTCCCCATCTGAAAATTGAAAAATAAAATTACAAAAACATTAATTTCAATGGTTTATAGTACTAATAAACTAGACCATATAAGTCATATTTAGTTTTAAGATAGAAAAGAAAAAAGAGTAAAGTATTATATACCTTCCTCTCAGAGTAGGGTGAAAGAGGAGGTTCAATAATTTTTGCCACATCAAAGTCACATAGCTTGACTTGATTAACACGTAGAGAACTAGTGAATGAAACGAGAAGATTATTAGGTTTGAGATCTCTGTGTAGAATTTTGTGAGAATGACAGTATGCCAATCCAGTAAGAGCTTGACGTAGAAAAATCTGCAAGGACAAGAGGAATCAGATACAAATCTGAATCAATTTAGAAATCAAGATACAAAAATTGACATACTTTTTCCTGGCCTTTAATGTCGAAAAGCAAGTAATTGGCAGCCAAGTATCTTTTAAGACTAATGTCAAAATACTCAAAAACAAGAAACACATCATCTACAGTTTCCATCACTTTCAGCAAACTGTGAATAACACACCAATCATCATCATCATCATCATCATCATTTTATAATGATCATCAAAAATTCAAGAATGGATTAAAGAAATTCCAGGTGATCACCGGACAATATTGGGATGGGATAACATTTTGAGGATAGAGACGTGATTTAAAATTCTGTGTGGAACTCCATAAATTTTCTGGTTATCCGGAATGTTCAAAATCTTGATAGCTACAACCTCTTTGGTAAAAATATTGGTGCCCTTCAACATATCGCCGAACCTTGGACCTTCAGCGCATATCCGCTGCAAATTTTTGTAGAACGGAGCTAGCGCTTCCGATTGATTTCTTGATAGAAACGGTCTGCATCAAAATCAAACACAATTCAAGATTTTGAAGAAATAGTTAACAACAAAATGAAAATTGAAACCCTAGAATTCCAGATACTTACATTCCTATTAAGTCTAGTTCCGCCATTTCAGAGCAAACGAGAGTGAGTGAGAGAGAAAGAGAATGAGAGGGAGATGTTTATGAAAAGAGTTTGAATAGATTGCTAGTTACTTAATCTGATTCCCATCTATATATATAACTCAAGTAATGTTGACAACTTGTAATAACTAAATAACTAACTTTCTCTAGAGTTTGTTATTTCAGTTACAAGGTAGTTATGAGATTACTTCACACATAGTAGAGTGCATACTATCTTGCATTATAGTTACCATGTGTGTTGATTATTAGTTTCATTCTTTACTTTTTATTAATTGTCAACAAGAAAATTTGAAGGAGAATGAAAAGGATAATTTTTTTTCTTTCTTTTAATAATATTTGAGCTTGAATTTTTAAACCCTCACAAATGATTAATTTTCGACTTCAGATTCAATACACTAATGCTATGTTTGTTTCACGATAAAACTAATGCCATACGCACATATAGTAAAATCTATAATTTGCAGCTTCTTAAAATATCACATCATTAAAAAAACGTCACTTGAACAAAAATAATCCTAAAATAAAGTGAGGTTGATTTTGCTTTAAAAAAGTGAAAAGGGAGACAAATCCTTATATGAAAAAATGGAGACTAAAACTTCAATTTTGATAAAATACATTTAAGCCAAGAAAATATACATTTAATCTTTATATTGTTTTCTTTCTTATTCTAGTCACCATAACATTCCTTGTTGCGTAGAGAAATACCAGGTTTTAGGGTTTTGGTTTGATGAAAGTCTACCCACATAGGGTATGTGTGTTTCTAAGAGAATTTTTCTCTTTTTTTTTTCTAGTTATATATATATATATATATATATATATATATATATATATATATATATATATATATATATATATATATATATATATATATATATATATATATATATATATATATATATATATATATATATATATATATATATATATATATATATATATTGCAATTTCTTTTTCCATCCTCATATGTTTTCTCAATGTCCTTAGTAAAAAGTAAAAATGCCTTCAAATTTTTAGAGATATATCTCCGAACGCACTATTTTCATAAAAAATAAACGTAAATGGGTGAGCGAAAATTTTATAAGGTATGTTCAGAAATGTATCTCTGAAAACACCCTATAATATACGAAATACAGACTTTTAAATAGCTAAAAATGCACTTAGGAATATTTTCAGATATGCATCTCCGAATTAATTTTTGGCAAAAATGGGGTGTTAAAATAACTAAGGAATGTTTTTGGAGATGCATCTCTGAATTAATTTTTGGCAAAAATGGGATGGCTAGGTTAAAATAGCTAACAATGCACTCAAGAATATTTTCGGAGATGCATCTCCGAATTATTTTTTTTGGCAAGAATGAGGTGGTTGCTTAATTTGCAAAGGATGAGGTGATATAAGGTGCGTCCGGAGCTTCATCTCCGAAAAAATTTGAGGGTAATTTCAGGTTTTCAGAGGTGTGAGTCATATCGTAAGGGTGTGAAAAGAATTTTCCTATTTATAAAAAATCTTTTAGACTTGGGCTAGAAGACCGAAAAGACGATTTCCTATCTTCCATATATCATGGGCGAATAGTTTTCCCCTTTGAATTATTCCTTTATCTAGTTTATGTTTGGACACCTCATCAATCACACTGGTGAGTGGATGGATCAACTTAGGTAGTCCAAGCCCAATTAAGCAACATATCTCCCAATTCTAGGCGACCTCATGATCAACTCTGGGCAGCCTAGCTATCACCCAATTTTAGGTGACCTCAAGCCCAATTTAGGGGCTTTCTACTAATGTTAAGACAAATGGCTTATATCTTATATTCATGAACCTTCCTTGTTAAATCCTAGTAAAATTATCCAAGTACATAGTCTCTCAAGCATGAAGTCTTAGAAAAGTCGAAATGATTTAATTCAGGGTACCTCATGCGAGCATTTGGTAAGTTGGGTCTCTCAATAAAGACTTAGAGAATTGATTAGCTCAAGCAAAACTTTGATAAGTGGAGTTCTTCGGGAGAGACATAGATAGTCGAGTTCCACAAGAAAGACTTAGATAGTCGAGTCCCCCATGAGAAAACTTTGATAAATCGAGTCTCTCGGAAAAGACTTAGATAATCGAGTCCCCCATGAGAGAATTATATAGTTGTGTCCTTATTTACAACACTTAAGTCCTTGCTTTCGTACAATCTACATTGTTGCACCATTTGAGGTTTTCTTACAACACCTCTTGTCAATATCTCTTTAATGATAATAATCCTATATTAGGAAGTATATTTATTGATATTTTTATTGTTGTTTCTTGAGTTGGCGAAGAAACCTTGTGAGACTTAAACTTGAGGGGTGGCTATAAATTTGACTCTTGACTCGAACGAGATGGCCACTCAGGGAGAGCTTGACTGGTCACTAAGAAATGAGACCTTGAAAGGTATGAGTGATTTAAATACATGAGACATTAATCTCTCTCTAGAGAAACGCGCCCTTGAAATAAAGATTGAGGTGATTTTCTTAAGCGGCTTGGAGCGAGCATGTGCAACATTTAATGTTTTAGGTATGAGTACCTTTTGTTAACAATTTATATTTTTCCTTTGGTAGACCTTTTTGTAATCATGCCCTTGTTAGTTGGAAAATTCGACGCTCAGGGTTTTATGAAAAAATTAAGGTTTTAAAGAGAAATTTGGAGTCTTTGAAAAGATATTTCGACAGAGGATATTATGGTTTTTTACCAGACTTCTAATAAAGTAAGACGAATTCGAAAGATACTTTAGGTGCTTACTTGTTCTTTTGGAAAAAAGACGCATGGAGACCTATGAAGGATCAAATACATGCAAGCGAGAACATGTCATCTTCTGATAAGAAGACCATTCATTTAGAATTAGTATAAATATGAGTCTTCTTGTTTAGATTTCTATGTGTTCAATTATTGTACAAATTACTCTATACACTCAAAGTATCAAAGTTAACCGAGAAATGAGTTATGAAAATGTACATTTGGAACACCACCTTTTATCTTTGAATGCAATCTTTACATTTTAAAAGCCATTTATCATTTCTTTACATTTTTCAGTCAAAGCCTTTCCTTTATACTTTTCAATCGAAGTCTTTACTTTTCATTTTGTCATTGAATTTTGTTATCTTTACTTGCTTTTTTCCATTTATATCCGGACGTACTTTTATAATCGAAAAAGACCAATATCTAGAAAAGACCTATAAAATAACTAAGAAATAGACATTATTGTCCTAGGATCAATCTAGTCGATCATATAAGTAACAAGAGTCATTAGAATTTGGAGAACTAGCGGTTGTTTACTAAATTTCATGGTAAACAAATTGACACGCCCAGTGGGACACAATGTCTAGTTTGTTAGGAAAATTTTGTTTTACAACACATATTTTTTCGTTAAACATTGTCGCATGGGATTGAAAAGTGGTAGAATAGCAAGAACTAACGATAAAGACCCAAGAGAAAATACATTAGGAGAATGGTGAATCCACCAGTCAGCAATGGAGAACAACTCCATCCTTCGACAGGGGAAAATACGGTTGCAGTTTCTGTAACTGAATTTATACCAATCCAAGTGAGTATAGTGGCAATACCAGCGAATACTTATAGTGGACCAATTCTCTCTCCACTGCAAACATAGGGTCCGCCAATGACCCCGAGGCCACTGGGGACGAATAATTTCATACATTTTGCATATGGGTTTACAATGTCAATGGATGGTCGTGAACAAATTTATGGTATGCCAACATCAGTGATGGAAAGTTTGCATAATAACACATCAACATTCCCTTATCCGTGAATGTCTATGTTTTCCCCATTACAAGGGTCAAGATCAGGTGTAAACAACATGGGTTGAAATACCCATCCCTCAGGATTTGCTGCACAGTTACCTACGATTACGACAAATTCTGCAGTGGCATTTAGACAATATATCGATGATAGCAACCACAAAATGGTTGATGTGATAACCCAATAAAATGATCCAAAGTGACACCTAAACTAATCAACAAAATGGCCAGACAAATAAGCAATTGGCAGCGCATATGATGCAAATTGCGGATTTCTTCGGGCCCCTCAAGCCCAAGTTCGACAAACTCATCGAGAATGGATGAGAGAAAACCAGAGGATGGTTGTCGAAGAAGATCCAACAATTAACCAAACCCAACCAGTGGCACAAAACACTGGCAAAGTTAACCAGGGGCAAAGAGTCGAACAACCTAGGATCAAATAAGAAATACCTAGAGAAGTTCAAGCCCCAAGGGTGATAACGGTTAATCGAAACCAGGTGCTAACGAAGTTATTTGCCACGTTCGACAAGACGAATTTGCGGGAGAAAATAATCTAGCATCCACAGTCTAAAGGATAATGGAATGAAATAAAGGTAAACATAGGCCTTCGAAGGTCAGGTTATACTTCCCATTTATCTGAGTATGTTTTACAAACTGAGTTACCTAGCGAATGGAAAGTCCCAAAGTTCACAAAATTATCTGGTGATACCAGTGAATCTACCGTCGAACACATATCAGGTACTTGATCGAGGCTAGGGACATTTCAAATAACGAAAATCTTAGGATAAAATATTTCCCTAGTTCCCTTACCAAAAATGCCTTCACTTGGTTTACCATACTTCTTGTGAACTCTATCCATGATTGGACTCACTTAGAAAGGTTATTCCATGAGCAGTTTTATGTGGGGCAATCAAAGATAAGTTTGAAAGAGTTGGCTAGCATTAAGCGTAAGTTTAGTGAGCCAATAGACGATTATCTCAATAGGTTATATATGTTGAAGGCAATATGTTTTACTCAAATACTACAAAAGGAACTGGTCGAAATGGTTGCGGATGGTTTATACTACTCATTTAGAAAGAAGTTAGATACCCAATATTTAAGAGACATGGCTCAATTAGTAGGTAAAGTTCGATAGGTTAGTTTAAAGGTCGAAAAGGTTAGGGCTAGTAAAAATAATAGAAGAGAAAGGGTAGCATACGTTGAAATGGATAACGAAGA